TTAAATATTACTTGAAGAGAATTTTGCCATTCTTGTGAACATAAAAGCATAACAAGTTCAACAACTGATGCTATTTGTTTAAGTGCATGTAAACCATTAGGTAATAATTCTTGTCCATGTGAATCAACTAATGTTTTTGTAAGTATATGTGAAAATTCTATAAATATATCACGTAAAAATGGTGCTATATTCAATAATGCTCGTTCTAATTTTTCTGTTATATTTATTGATGATTGATTTGAATTAAAATTTGCTTTTGGATAATCGGGCAGTGTTGATTCAGTTAATTGATTTTTATTTATTGTTGTTGAATCACTAGTAGGAATACTAGCAATACTTGCTAGAAAAAAAATGCTATGGTTACTTCTCTACATCATATATACCGTATTGAGTAGCTGTAGCACTTGTATTATTTATATCTATTGAATTTTTATTAGTCGATTGTAAATTTATTTTATTAACTTCATTATTATCATCAATAACTGTTGATTCATCATTATTCTACTACAAAATACACAATTTTTTAAACTCCCTCCCCGCCAAAAAAAATTAATTTAACAAAATTCATACTTGATTATTTGTAATCGATGTTGAATCATTTATACTAACTGTATCTACATTTATCTCACTAGTCGAACCTAATAAAAAAAACAAAGTTTCTAATAAAGAAATAACAATCTACTTAGGGCAAACCAAAAGTTCATAGAACGATTTTAAAGAACCTTGTCGGATAAGGTAATCTATTTAGAAATGAAAAACCAAATATACCATATTGTAGAGCTTTTTGAGGCACGTCGAATGGTATATAATAAATCCTGTTTTCATAAGACTTTGAAGGAAGTAGAATCAATTTACTGATAAACGACTACACACCCATACCCCCAATGACAAGATGACCGGAGATGCTACATATATGAGGTAGTAGTCCGTCAAAAACTCTGCAAAATCGTATGTGAGAAAAAATATTTTACAAATACTTTCGACTAATCCCAAGGACCACAATATTCAGTAACCTATCATACTAAGGTGAAGGTGTGAGTATGGGTGAGTAGTCGTCTATCAGTAAATTGGCTCTAGTTCCTTCAAAGTCTTATGAAAACAGGATTTATTATATACCATTCGACGCGCCTCAAAAAGCTCTACAACATGGTATATTTGGCTTTTCATTTCTGAATAGATTACTTTAGCCGACAAGGTTCTTTAAAACGGTTCTACGAACTTTTGGCTAGCCCTAAGTAATATATTCATACCATGTCGAATACTAGGTGTTGTACTTATAATTGATGGTTGTCTAGAAAAATTTGTTTGATTTGTTTCAATTATATCTCGATATCTTGATACCATAAGTACCATTGGCGGGCCAAGTGGCGCTATATGAGCTGGTAACCGTGTGGCAATTGCCACACGGTTACCAGCTCAGGTGGCGCCAAAAGAGCGGTGTCCGGCCCGCCACTGATAAGTACTGATGTAAAAAGTAAGAATTAATATAAGAGGGAGCACTATAAAAACGTTTTTTTTTCCCAATGTTCTTGATACTTTAGTTTTAGCAGTCCCTTCAGAGTCTAGAAAGTTGATAGTCTCGCACTGTTTTATTTATCTTCTAATACAGTTTGAAAACTTGTGTTAGAAGTAGACACTAGCAAATTATATTCTATAGGAAAACTGGTGTGATATACTTATTTTATAACAGTATATTTGGTCTGTCGGACGAAAAAGAACAAGAACAATTTTTCTTTTTAAAAATATTTCTAGTCATTTTTTGTTGTTCGTTTACGTAATTGAATGTCAAATCCTGCAACATTAACCGATACAGATCCATTAATACAATGTGATTTAATGGAATCTCGTGATGCATTTTTAAGTTTTGCTCGTGAAAAACATTGAGTTTTCTTCATTACGTCGGGCAAAATATTCAACAATGGTTTCATTAATTGAATTACATTCATCAAAAGCCGATAAAATATCTTATACATGTAATTCATGTCGACAATTATGTGATATGGTGTGGGTGTGGGTGTGGATGGGGTGTGGGTGTGGGTGTGTGTGGGTGGAGG